CCGCCCCTGACCCTGTCTCTCTGTCTCCCTCCCTCCCTCCTTCTCTTTGCCTGCTGTGTTGTGCCTGAAGACGTGGAGAGTTCCAGTTAGTCTGCCCAAAAGGGAAATATGTGAGTCCCGCGCATGGCGAAGTGCACCCTCTCCCCCTCCCTCCTCCTCACCCCCCCTTGCCTTTCCCTCAGCAGTATTGTGCGTGAAGAGGTGGAGTGTTCCGTTCACACGAAGAGGTGGAGTGTTCCGTTCACACGAAGAGGTGGAGAGTTCCGTTCACACTCGACCTAAAAAAGAAATAGGTGGGTACGCCCAGCGTGCGCGAAGTGTACCATCTCTGTCTGTCTGCCTGTCTGTCCGTCCGTCCGTCGCTGTCTGTCTGTCTCCCTCCCTCCCTCCCTCTTTCTCTGTGTCCCTCTCTCTGTCTGTCTCTTTCTCTCTCTGTGTCTCTCTCTCTCCCTCGCTCCCTCCCTCCCTTCCGACCTACATCCTTCCTTCTATCTTCCTTTCATCCATTCGTTAGGGCTGCAACTCCATTTTTTGTGAGAGTGCTATGTTGCAAGTGGGACAGGATTTGTGCACGGCCGCTACCGGAAGGAGTAGGCGGGGATCATGCCGGGAATGTGGAGCGGCAGGGGGAGAAGGAACGCTGAGGGAATGTCAAGTGCCTAGTCAGGCAGGCAGGAGAATGTCGCCATCTAAATTTCGAGGGGCTGGATCAGGAGTAGAAGGACGAATGGGGGAGGTGAGGATGCGGGATCAGGATTTGGTCGGTCAGAATGGGATGGGAAGATATTAAAACTGATCAGAACAGATGCTACACTTGATCTTAGCCAAAAGGCCGGACCACACGATATTAAATGAATTTTTCTGGGCCACGGAGGGGTCGTACGAGTAAGCTTGCTTACTCGACCCCTCCAGTGTTGCCTCTGTATTGCACTGCAGCAGAGTGCGGAAAAAAAACAAAAACAGAAAAAAGAATGGGATGGGAAGAAGGAGAGTCATCGGGCTAGGGTGAAGCATGCACGGTAAGTTTGCCGGCGTTAAGGAGGTTGTGGAGGAGGAAGACGTCGAGGAGGACCCTAAAGTAAATGTGAGGACGATGTAGGTCGAGGACCCAGTTTGCGAAGAAAGGGATGGGCAGCACGGATTGGGAGGGTGCCGATCAGGATGTGGGATCGAGAGGAGGAGAAGGTCAGCCAATGAGGTGCAGGCAGGGTGAGGATGTAGGAACCGATGTTGTAAGTGCAGTGGAAAGAAAACGAAGTCAACAAGGTAAGGAATGCAGGTCGTATAGGGGGATCCGGACAAGGTGGGAGGAAGAGGGGCTCAGCCCGGAGGGAGGGAAACATGTTGTGTAAAGGAAGGAGAGAGCAGGATATAATGAAGGGCCTGAATCACGAGAGCGATAGGGTAAATGTGGATATGCAGGTGATGGCGAGAGAGCAATGACGAGAGAAAGGGCAACCGACAGAGGAAGAGAGGAAAGGACACATCAGATCCGCAGGGGCCACATCGAGTATTGGAAGAGCAGGAGTTCGAAGAGGATCCCAACGGAGGGGAGAAAGGCGTGAAGAAAGAGAGGTGATGGACACGGGAGAAGTGGAGAAGTGGACGAGGAAAAGTGGATTGGAGGGGGGAAGACCGGGAGGGCGGATGGAGGTACAAGTTGAAAAATGAAATCGGACAGGCGGAAGGGAGGCAATGGAGAAGGGAGAAAGGGAATAAGGCGAGAGCGTAGGGAAGAATACATCTGTGTGTGTGTGTGTGAGAGAGAGAGAGAGAGAGAGAGAGAGAGAGAGAGAGAGAGAGAGAGAGAGAGAGAGAGAGAGGGAGAGGGAGGATTAGGGAGGGCAGTTGACGGTCGTTAATGACCGTACGCACCCTCCTAGAGCGAGAGAGAGAGGGTTGGAGAGAGGGGAGAGTAGCAAGAGAACGGGAAGAATGAGGGAGGAAGAGATGGGGGAGGAAGAGATGGGGAAGGAAGAGATGGCGAGAGGGACGGGGCAGGGAGAGATCTCGAGGGGACGGTCGTCTTCGGGCTACGATCTTCTCTTCATAGAGGCACTCCCATCCTCACTCCAAGGCCCGCCCAAGACGATTCTAAATGTTATGTTAAAAGAGTACAGGAAAGAAAAACAAGGGCGAAATGTTAGTAATTGTGTGATATTACTACATCCTTTGAGCTCTTCTTCTCTATCATTTACCTTTTTTTTTTTTTTTGTCTCTGTGTGCTGCTAAGCTGTCGTCTCTTCACGTCGGGAGCTTGTGCCGGCGGCAATCGATTGCTAGCATCTCTTTTTTTTTTTTGGTTAATTAAAAAAAATCTCCCGTTCTACAGGTTGGAATGTTCCCAGCCAAAAAAAAAAAAAAAAAAAAAAAAAGAATGTTCCCGGACCGGTTGCATATATCCACTCTGTGGTATCTCGGGCGTGCCGACGTTGGTGTGACGCGAACACCAAATGCTCATCAGCTCTGCTTGTGAAATCAAATGCAGAAGAATTGATGATCTCATCTGAATGAATGATTTTCAGCAAGTTACAATCTTCTTCGTCAATTACCTAACCGATCGTCTCAGTCGAGCCTTCTTCCCCTTCATCATGATGGTGAATCGTTTGATTAGAATCGATGAATGGATTTTGATTAACATAGGTGAATGGATTGATTAACATAGGTGAACGGATTGATTAACATAGGTGAATGGATTGATTAACATTGGTGAATGGGTTTGGATGCAAATTGGTGAACAACGAGTGTTCATGTGTTTCGTCGGTTGATTACTCGGGTACTGTGTCTTTGTACTGATTCGTCGGCCATCAACTGCTACACACACCATCAGGTTTTTATCACATTACATCATCCTTGCAATCAGACTCGCTTTCATTCACACTGCATATGCATGCAAACAGGTTGCGCAGCAAACTGACGACAAGCGCCCACTCGGAACTCAGAGATATGGTAGCCAAGAACGCAGTTCAGATACGAGTTCACTTCGAATGGCTAGAGCGCCCCAGCGCCTACACAACTCTCTGTTCGTCGCTTCACTCAACTCCCCTGTTCACACGCACTCATCTGAGGATCACCCTGGATATCCCACACGCAGTACACTGGGCACTCACACACACACACACACACACACACGCTACTCTCTCCTATCAGCTATGGCCGCCGCTACCCTATCGCTATGGCTAAGCTTCCTTCTCGCCCACTTCGACTTCGGGCTCACTGCAGACCACCTCGCACAAGTCGCTGTGGCAGCGCTTCCGCATGGCTTACGCAGGAATGAATGAATGGCTGGGCGCTGCCTCTTGATTTATACTTCTGTATCTCGTTGGTCTGCCCCTTTCCCATGCCCGTGGTGCACACAGTCCCATACGGTACTTGCTTGACTGGACTAGGACTGACTGGGACTGGGACTAGGACTGGCTGGGACTGGGACTGCTGACTCAGCACGGGGACTGACTGGGACTGGGACTGCTGACTCAGCACGGGGACTGACTGGGACTGCTGACTCAGCACGGGTAGACTCCACCACTTGCCCACTTGCCTCAGCCTAAACGTGGGCAACTTCGAAAGGCCACTACTGGTAGGACCTTCCGGAAGGCCGTGGACTTGGCCTTTCGATACTGTAGCAGCTACGACCTTGACCCTTCAGGACTGTAGCAGCTACGACCTGGACTCTTCGGAAGCTCTACAGCTACGACTTCTAGATCTGCCTAAGACTTCTACTCGACAGGTCGACAGATCGAACCCCTACTACCTATGGACCCTACGACATTCTACCAACTGTTACAAATATACAGGTCACGGGTTCAACTCTCGGGGTCGACACAGATACTGTACACAGGTAAGGTTAAGTCTAGGGATAGGGATCGAGCCCTGCGACCTGCACTCGCTACTGCGAACAGGTGAATACCGTTTCAATCCTCCTGGACACAAGCGTTGAACTCTGTTCCGGACAGTATTCTTCCTTTCCTCTTTCTCTCTCTCTCAATGCGCACACGCACACACACACACACACACACACACACACACA